CCATTACGATTGACTGCTATATTGTTAATGTATCTATTGTAAATGTTTGTATGTATATTGTAATGTATATTGTATCTTGTGCTTGGAGAGGCGACATATCTTAAGTTATAGAGATTTCAAAAAGAGGAGAGAAGAAAAGTGTCAGGTGCAATTAAGCATCTCGTGTCGCGCGTTTCCTTCGCGCAAATTCCTTCCGTTCATTTTCTCTTTCATTTCTTTCTTTGCTACAATTGACCGTTAAAACGATATCACGATGATACATAGACTCACAATCATTCTTCTTAAAACTGAAATTCGTGAGAAAAATACGGAAAGGGATAGGCGCGATTCGTGCCGGACGCGAATATAAGATGCTTGCTACATACATTTATACATAATATATTGTATAAGCGATGGCAAAACTACTACGAGTCATTATATGCGACATTGAAATTTGTATATCATGAACGAATTAAAAGAGGAGAATCTCCTAAATAATTATCTCATGGACATTTATTAATTTGCAATTGCTCCAGCGATCTTATGTAGCAAGGACGATTCAATTGGACAAACTGAGTCGGAAGATGAATCGTATTCAAGTATATATTATGTAATAGAGAGATAAAATTCGTAATGTCAAATACAATTGATAATTTTACAAAATACATTTAAACGTTGTTATAAATAATACACAATTAATTGCAGCTTCTTTGTTTGCTCATTTTTTCAAATTAAAATTACGATTTATCTTTCACTTTTACTCGCTACATATTTAATTTACTAACTTGCAACTCACGACTTAATTAACATTCTAATCTCTAAGGATGAAGGTACGTGTCCAACTTAAGCATGCTCTGTGGATAAATGTGACAAGTAAAAGTCGAGTTAATACAAAAATCTCTTGATTGCCATAACAATTTTATTTTCCATGTATGATACAAAATATCCGTATAAATATACATTGGTTTTTTTTGTTTGAAGAGATGACAATGCATGATAAAGTAAACACTTCTGAATGTGCAATTTGTTTTAAATTATACTTAATGAAATGCGCATGCAAAATTATTATGCTCTAGTTAGGATATAATTGGAATGTTCTTTTGTAAAAGAAGAGAAGGTTTGAAGCTCTTTTTGATGACCTGAACGTCAAGTCCGATTTGACAATGACAATTGGTCATTGCAAAAACTAATAGGCGTAGAAAGCACGAGATCTTTCGCGTTGCTTAAACTTTGTGCGCTTAGAACAAAATATATAGATATTTTCAAATTTCAATAGGAAAAGGAAAATAAAAAAAAAGCAACGCGAACAGACTCACATCTGCACGTCACAAAGCAGCTAGAAATGACCTGAAAACATGCCAAAAGTTTCGTGTATTTTACACAAAAATAAAAATATTTAGTGACAAATCAAAAAGTTCGTTCGACAAAGCATACTTAACCGTAAAATATACCGGAAACCTCGTTCGAGGAGTGATTTAGTATAAGAAACGCAAAATCAAAGAATAATTTTGATAGCTGTCAAAACCTGTAACAAGTTCATGTTCCGATTGTATATAGCCTGTGAGTTTTGTTATCAAAAGAAGAATTTCCATATTTTTTACAAATGTGCTCCATTGATTCCAAGTGCATTTATAGAGAAATAATCTTTTATTTTTTCACACAAAGTGCATGAAACTTTCGTATATTTTTCTTACTTTTAACGTCCTCAATTTAAAATGGCCGCGAAAGTACTGAAGAGGTGCCTTAAAATAAAAAGCAAATAAAAAAAAAAAGAAACGCAGAATAAACAAAAAAAGAAATGTTTAGGATCGATATAAAGTTTAATTTAACTGCACTGCATACAAAAATACTATTGTCTGCTCGCTCTTCATGAATAATTCAGTAAATCCTTAACTAGTAAACTTCGAAAATTACTGTATACGATTCTTATGGTATGTTGGTGTATATATATATTTATAATGAGTTTTGTTATCTAATAATCAGGTCATGACTTTTTTATTCAATATATTTTTGTTGTCTACAATATACGCATATATTACATTTTAAAAAACAATAAATAGATCTTTGAATCAAATAATTAGTTCCATAAACGAGTATATTAAAACAATATTATATAATATTTGTGTTTTAACTTTACTTCAAGTATATAACAATTTTGGAAGTGTACAGTTTTTTTATTCTTATTAAATTGCTTGAAAAATAGCGTATTTTACATTTCATTTTTTAGTAAACAAAAGCTTTTGTTTATATAACGCATGTATGCGATACACTACACTCTGAAAATGTATAAATTGCACCTTACTTTTAAGTGACAATCTTGAAAAGTTTTTTGATTTACTCGATCACTTCATGTTCATGTTTATACTTGCACACAATCTATATGACATGACTTTAATAAAAAGATTTCTTGAATTTTTTTCTCATTAAACTCAAATGTCGCGTATTTTTATTATCTTTCTTTTTATTGAATTGCTTTTTCTCTAAAACTTTTAAAATGAAAAATGAATATGGATACGAGAAAATTTAAAAGATGATATGCATATTAGAACTTGTGACAGCGCGATTCTAGTACAATTACTTGTTATACGTTGCGCGATTCCGATAAGACAAAGACGATTATTACTCTATATTGCGGCAATAACTTTTATGGATTTAATGATTAAGCGAACATCTCATAACTAAATTATCTGGATTTTTAGTATTACCAAGAACTCATCAAACACTATGACCATCAAGTATTAAATTAATATTATCGACTTATTATTCATTTCGATATTCTTATATTTACGTGCCATCAAGAATTTGATTAGCATCAAAAGTGAAATAAACAATTAAATGTGGGACGTTCTTTTTAAACTTTTTTTAAACTGAATTTTAAATTAGCGATATATTATTGTATAGTTTGAGTTATTTAATTAATTGTTTAACTTTTTATATAATATAATAGTTCTCTTTATAGCGAACACGTCTGCATGAAAAATCGAATTGTTTGCGGGACACGGAGAAATACGAGCCGTCTTGAATTTATCACGCGTACGTTGTTTTATCTCTTTATTCCATATAGCAGGTTCAGAAAACGTATTTAGGTACTTGGGCTCTCTCGTGATAGCGAGTACCGGACGCGGACTTTCTCAGACCAGCCATGAACCATCACCAACCGTCACCATCACCAACCACCATTCACACACATCCACAATTGCACACACAAAAAACAAAAAAAAACAAAAAAAAAAGAAACAAAAAAAAACAAAACAAAAAATAAACTGCTCTATCCTTGATCGCTTCACCAGCACGGTGAGTCTTATTTCTTCTTCGTTCTATATATAATAATCCTATTATATATTTTAATATTCTTTCGCGATGTATTACTCTCAAAAGTACTTGAACGCCTGGACAATCAAAATTTACTTTTTTAATTGTTCTGACGTTTGTTTGTACAAATTCTTTTCCGAATTTAATAGACGATCACCGTCTTTCTTAATGCATAACAGCATTTTTCTGATTTTTAGTGATAAGTTTAATTAATCAGATCGTATAGTCATTATATATATTGTTGACAGCAGTTATTTATTCCAAGATATTATGAGAAACGCTACATAGTAATACAAAAATTCATTGCAAGGCATCAAAGAAATAGATGCATTTTCTCGGTTTTCTAGGTTTCACGTACTTTAATGAGAAGTTAGATTCTGTTTTCTTGTTTCTCTGATAACGGCTTTTTGCTTTGGTTTGTCGTACGCTTTTTCTTTGCTTACTATTTACTATAAGGGGAATCCTCACACTTACTATTTGCTATAATGGATCCTCACACTTATTGTTGTAGCAACTGCTGCTGACAAACAATCCTTGTTACTAAATAATAGACGACTGTAATGACAAGTTTATTAATACAATCCTCGCATAGTCAACAACGTGTTACTTAAATATTGACGATAATATAAAATCGTGTGAGGATGCTTTTATGAGATGCTGCATTTTTGTCTCGTAAATATTAGAGATTATATTACAATTATATTACAATGCTTTTTGTTCCTTCTCTTCTCAATGAAAAGTTTCGAACTATCGATATATCTTTATATTTTATTTTATAAATTATCATCTTATATTGTTAACTTAAAAAAACGCAATATTATAATTTATTATATACATTTTGCAGAAAGTGTGACAAGATATAATGTTGAAAATAGAGTAAAGAAATTTACAAAATATGTAAATACGAGCGACACGCTCATATAAAATAGCGATATAATTTATTTGTGAATAATATGGCGATATGATTTATTTACGAATAACATAAATATATGTAACAAATATATGTATAACTTATAATTTATAACTTAAATTTTATAAATTTAATAAATTATTATATTATTTTTATCATACATTTATTGTATATTATTATATTAAGTAAAATATATTTCTATATATATATATGCAAATACAATAATCATAACATTTGTCCGTATACACGTTCCACTCGCTTTATGTAATCGCGTTTCAACGAGCAATAAATGTTATTTATTCATGTATAATTTGGAATATAGCATGGCACATAAAAAAATATGCTTTTGCATGCTTCGCGAAATTTGAAAGTTGTCGTTACAGGCTTTACCATTGCATATGTTTTCATTAAAGTATTAACTTATTGTTAATAAATATTTTTTAGTACGTAGAACAAATATTATTATGAAAAATATTTAATATTATCTTTTAAATGGTTTATGTTTTTTAACTATGTAATCCACACACACACACAAATTTATGACATTTGCTTGCTCTATTTTAATGTAGTTTCATTTCATATATTTTATTATTTTGATTACACTATATTTATTCATAGTAGTATAAAAAACTTACATTTCGAATATTACGTAGGACACATTTGATTACACAGCTCGTTACATCAGTTCACAAGTTTCTCGAGCGTAACACAGCAAAATAATACAGCAGCAACAACAATACAGTTTTTTGTTGCCTTTTAACATAAACAAAAAACATAAACGGTTTGTCTAATTTTTCAGCCTGCAAATTGGGTTGGTATCACAACAACAGTGGCTGCTTGCAACAATGTCCATCCGGAACTTACGCGGTTCAGCGAGGCAACAAATCCAGCGAATTCTGCATTCCATGTCACTACTCCTGCTTATCCTGCAAAGGACCCACCGACGCGGATTGTGTCAGTTGCCACACGGACTCTATACTCACATTCAGCAATGGAGATGCTTTTTGTATACTGAGCAACCTATCTTGGAAGATGCAGTCCACAACATGGTACTACAGGATGACGATGGCGTTTTTAATCAACTTGAGTCTGATAATCCTCGTTATTGTTTGTCTTATGTTCTCCTGGTACATTCGCAGACTCAAATGCACTCACAAGTACAGCAAAGTGTCTTACGGCAACGGCGAGACTCATGCAGAAACAGAACAGGAGAACAACACTTGTGTCTCCGACAGTGAGTGAACGTAATGAACACTATAGAGTTCTAACGTTTTAAAGACGTTCTAGCTGTATATTTTGAGAACTTTCTTCGAAGAGATTCAAAATTTGATGATCGTCTTAATGTTATTTTAAATCAACAAATCAGAGTCCAAAAATGAAAATGTCTAGTGACTTTTTGTGAAGAATTTAATAATTTTTATGTGTTTTTTTATGTGTTTCTTATATACATATTGTGTAAAGTTTATTTACTATTTTGTGCATCAAAATTATGCTACTGTCAAGTTTAGGCGTTACGTTGTAGTTCTGTGCATAAATATATCTTCATAGCAGTAATTTGTGGACGTAATAGCGTTAACAGTACCGATAGTTTCCTTTAAGATGAAGTAATCGGTTTGTTGCGACGCTGATATATTGTAGCACTAGTTTGTGACATACCGTTCGTGATGTACCGTTTATCGATTACTAGTGAACCAACACGTGAAATAATGTCTTTTAAGGCAGTGACCGATTTCGTACGATTCAATGAGTCTTAAATACGTGTGCACAAACATGAACATCTATTGCGCAATTACAAGTGAGAGTAGAATAGCTTTATACCGACGCTCAACCACAGTCGCAAATAAACGGTAACTTATGTATGTATTAACTTTTTAGCTACGGATTTTGTATAAGTATATACGTCGTCACAAAAATTTTTTGGAAAATTCGTGATTTTACATATCTAAAAGATTAAAAGATTCAGTCGGAAAAGACTTCGATCGATTGAATAAAAAATTTTTCAGTTGTCGAAAATAGATTAAAACAAACTACGCAATATTTCTAGATACTCACGCTTTAACTTAAAGCATTAATATTTTATTTATTAGACATTTGAGTTCCTAATGTGACGATGTGAAATTATAGAGACATTATAATACATATATATACATATATGTATATATATGTATATATATGCTCAATATACATCGGCATCCGAAATGAAGAGAAAAAAACAATTAATAAGAATATTAGATAATCACAAATTGAAAATAGTGCATAATTTTTTATTTATACGAACTAACAGTACACAGTATTTTTTAAGAGCAATTTACCTCAGTAATGTGATATATAAATATAGTACATAGTAATTGATATTATAAATCTTAGCTACTATGCACCCATAATTGTTACCGATAATTACTGAAATTCAATAAATAAAATGTACATATTGTTCTTGTTAACGTTACAAGTTTAATAAAGCAATGAAGAAAAAGCAACAAAGACTCGAATGTTTTCTTTTATCTCAATCTTTCAAAAAGTGTTGTGTACACGTGAAATATCAAAAATTGTTTTGAGATGAAACAATCAAATTGTTTTTGTTCATTTCAAATTTTTAGTATACTCTGAATTTTGTTTTACTTTAAGAGATCATGAATTTTCTCTCAATTATTTTGTTGTTGTTTAATATACCATATTTTTAATTTAATATTTATTTTTTAAATTTTGTTTACATTTATTATTTTTTAGTTTTATTTATGTTGATATATTATCAACATAAATACAACTAAAAAGTTGATATTATATTTTGTACACATTTATATTACGAATAACGGACATTAAGGTTAATGATTCTTTACAATTTAAGTGTTCAATAATATGCATCCAGGAGAAAAGTAAAGTACTATTTGAGATAATAATACAAACATGTAAATATATATATGTAAATAAATATACGCACACATAAACAAATAAATAATAATATAATAAATTAAATAATATAATTTCTCTTCGTGAATTTAATTTCAAACACATTTACGTGCCACGTCTATTGTGACGTACAAAGGCAGAAGTGTCGTTGTGGACTGATTGTGAATGTTGCGAAAATAATTAATCCACACTCAAAATCACATAGATAACGAGAATTTGTCGCGGCAGTCAACGATTGGCTGCTTGTTCCAATCAGTAAATTCATCTGACACAGACGAAACAGCCTGCTAATTGTTGCCAATTAATATTTTCCCTGTGGTCTTGTCTCTGTCATCAAATTCTGAAATAGAAACGCGTTGCTAGGGGATGAATACATATGTGTATGTAAAAGAATTCGAGACAAACAAGACATGTTATATCAGAAAATATTATGACATAAATTTCTGTTTTTAATTTTTCATAAAACCGTCAATTCACTACGTCATAATTAAGTAGTTAAAATTTATCGAGCATGATCGTTCTAAAAGCTCATTAATATTTTCATGGTCTTTTAATTGCCATTAGTGAGGTTGGTTTTGCATTAATATTCATGAATTATAATTCCACATGTACCCGAACGATACATTTACAGAGAGGGAACCGCAGCTACTAAAATTCTTTTGTGTGCCGTCTTTCCTCCATGAGGCAAAGTATGCAAAGAGCAAACTGCTGTTGCATCTAGATGAGCAACATTATTCTTGCAGGTAGGTGGAAGCATAAAACGACCGAGTTTATGTGACGCACCGCGTCAAAATCCACACTTTACCTGGAAAGCGCGAATATCCTGCATCTTTGCGGCATCTTTTTTTCTCTTGACAATATTGCTTGCATCGCGAGAAGTGCTTCTTTTAACTGAAGCAATAGGATTTTTTTCGACGAATATTGTTGTCAACCAAAATTAGAACTGATTTTTATCCAATCATATTGTGTACAAAGACTTTAAATGTAAAACTAAAACAAGTATATATACATATAAAATATTTTATCATATACATTTAAATTTAGTTTTTTGTAAATTTAGTTTGATATTAAAACATGATTATTAAGTGAAAGTTGATAACTCTCAAGCGGAAATAACATAGTGCTTCCGAGCAATTGCGACTGTCACGTAACAGTGATGTAACTGATTCCTCTTTTCTCTTTTTTGTGAAAAGATTCATCGCCGATAACTTCTTTTCCATTTCTTCCGCCGCGCCTTGACGTGAAATAAGAAGGAAGTAATAGTCCAAAGGTACACAGGCACTTGGCAGGAAACCAAATCCTCGACCTGAAGAACGCCAGGAAGCGTGCACACGTGCACGCGATAGCGACGGTATACTTTTCGGGAAGAGATCGCAATAGACAAAATCGTTCCGTATTTCATTCTACTCCCTATTTGTTAGAAAAAATTCGCATTTTATTTGATTTTATAATTTTGAACTAGGTGTGTCCACCTTTTTTTATCATAATGCTTTAATAAATTTTTTTTATAACAAACAAAGATGCTATTTTTTGTGGCAAATTGAATATAATTTCTTTGTGTATTATCTATTGAAATGTAATATAACTGTTACTTTTTTTAGAACAAAAGTTTGAGAAAGCCGCCAGCATGTTTTTAACAATTTCATCATAATTCATAGCAAAAAAAAGATAGAAAAGCCACTTTCTTTTTTTTCTGCACGGACATCTTTACTTCACTTTAACAACTACGTTACACGCGTTGTAACAACTAAAAAAGAACAACCGCAACTATCGATTGAACATTAATCATTGATAAGATTTCTTAAACGTCGCTGTGTGTGTATATTGGTAATAAATGTCGTTCCGTTTATCTACTTTCCTTCTTTTCATACCGTCTGGTCCATAAAACTTGTCCGTTATAGTTAACAGCATCGTATTTCACAGCATCGTATTTTCACCCTCGATAAATGCAGACATAGACAGTTTCGTGCACAGAACCACGAGATAAATCGCGAAATTATTTATGACTTTATGACACTTAAGAGAAAATTTGAAAGCTAGCCAGATCAAAAATACTTAGGAATATTCGCTGTAACATAAAGCTACGAAACGAACTTTCAATGCACAAAGATATTTTATTTTTATATTTTCTACGTAACTCACACAATCTTTTCAATAAAAAAATTATTTACTCTTGTGTTTACAATAATATTAATTGTTTTTCTTATAATAAAAGCACGACATAAAAGCTCGTAACTTTCATACAATATTTCACAAGATAATAATATTGATAAACTTGTATGATTTAATTCTACTATTTAATAGGATTTTTAAAATCGTAATTAACACAGTAATAATCCTTGCTTAACTATAAAACGACGTAATAGTTACGTAAAACACTATGCAATTATAAGAAAAAGAAGCAACGCTTACTGCTTGACCTGTTCGTTTATATTATGCGCAGTAAGACGGTTTTTATTTAATGAATAATAATAGCTCTGGCAGGAGTGGACGTTGAAGTGGAAATGACAGTGTACTAGGAAGCAGGACGAGCTTGTACGACATTAGCGCTCGAGAAGTAGAAATAAAGAGCCCATTTACTTTCTTCCCGTCGTGCAAACGTAACGTCACACCGACGACAAAAGGACAAATATCCTCTAGCTAGATATAGGTACACCGCCGCTCGATATTTTCGAGTACAATCTGCTGTCCGCAGGGACATCAGCGAGAACTCATCCAATTTTCAGAGATAACGTTAGAGTAGAAAATGTTATCTTTATTCCGCTACGCTTTGAACGCGGAAGATACTACCTGCGTACGCAAACTTTTCTCTTGTAAATTTAGTTATATATATAATACACTATAATATATATACATGCAATTATATTAATTTTTTAATAATAAGAAAAAACTTCTGTGTGCAAATCTTTTAAAATTAATATTTCTGACTATTTTAATATATTGAAGAGTATAAATATAATTTACACATTTTGAATGATATAACGATATACAAACAGTATTAAAAACTTCTGAATTTTATTTTGAACTCTTGCGTTATTAATAATCGCGAATGTAAAACAATATATTTATTGAAAGCGAACTTTGTCTAATAGATCGTAATAAAATGTTTAAATTAAATTATTACAAAGATAGGGAGAAAGAGAAAAAAAGAAAGAGAAGGAGAGAGAAAGAAATTGTTCTTTATAATGAATAATGAAAACTCATTGTACAAAAGTGAGCGTGAACGAATTTCGAACATTACTGTATAATACGATTATGAATGAATTTTCCTTTGTGCATTTTTAACGTCAACGTCTATCTCGATTTACGTTTATAAAAGGTGTCGATTGGTTTGTAATAATGCTCGACCATCGCACATAAAATCTTCCAAACGCAATGAGATCAATTAATGATTGTATCAATTTGAAATTTGTGATGTGTGTAATTTGCGTTCGCTGGTGATGCTTGATTGCACATTTTGTTCTCCTCTGTTACCATCAATCAATTCGCGCGTTCCCATGTCTATGTAATTCAATTATTTCACGAAACCTCGTACAATTCTACTGATTCTAATTATATGTTGCATTGCATAATGAAGTTTTTACTATTATAATTGATCTTCTTATAGTAGCACTTATAATTTTTGTCAGACATATATGCTATTTAATCCAATATTTAATTTTCTATATATAAATAGAATTGAACATATATACATATATATATATATACATTTTGATTTATTACGTGTATCATATATTCTGTGTTTTGTTTGAGTAAAACTTGACACAAATTAATTAGATGTTTTATAATTTGACACAAGAAGTATGGATTTTATCGTTTTTGCTAGAACATACGTAGTCAAACCAAAATAATAAATTTGTGACCGTACTAAAGGTAATAGAAAGCTTTAGTGATATTTACTCTGCGAACTCGTAAACGGCAAGCAAACTGCGCTCGTTCAACATTCTGTTGCACGAAAGAGCAATTTGGTGTCACGCGTGAGATCAAAGAGCACAGACGCGTCCATACGTGACGTTAAACGCGAGGACTGTCAAGCCCAAGGTTTTATGGATATTTGAAATTCACCGGCTTTGAAATCATTTCGGGATTATTCGGAAAAGCGAGACAGCACACCACAACGCAATTAAGTGCAGATATACAAACAGCGCGAATAAATATCGAGTTCCTCACTAAACACAAGCTTCCTTTTTTGTGCAATACATTTTATTAAAGTCAAAAGAGAGATATGCTTGAAACAATTTAATAATAAAAGATAGAGAGAGAGAGAGAGAGAGAGAGAGAGAGAGAGAGAGAGAGAGAGAAAGAGAGGGAAAACGTTTCTCTCTTTTCTAACAAAATTTAATTTTTATACACATTTATTACGAGCTACAATATATAAAGCGACGTGAAATGCTTTTCATATTGTCCTCTGAAGGATTCCGTATCCGCGAATTAATCTCGGCATAGTTTACTTCGTTGGCAGATGAAATGCGCCTAATGAGTAAACAGAACGCGCACGTGTGCGTCCCTTTAAGTTTGTTCTCTATATGAATATATACACCGTGGAACGGAGAGTCGGTAGTTCCGCGGAAGTTAGTCGGGAGGAATTTAGATATCGCTGCGTCCAGTGGAAGTTGAGTTACGAGAATGGGATGGACAAGCGGTAATGGAACAATAGGAGCCGCGAGCGAGTGGAATGAGCTATTCGGGTATTTACATTTCAGCTATTCGTTACACATTGAACACGACTGAATGATCGCTCGCGTACATACTTACACGCATCTCACTCAATGCCGCACTTTGCTTCCTTTATATAATCGGAATGTTCGTTGTTGATTTGCTTTAAAGCAGTATATACAAAATCAGAGAGTAGTGTACGCATGTGCACAAATAACGTAACAGAAAAAGAAACTGCGCAACAAAAGTTTAGCAAATAAAATAAAACTTTGACGATTTTAACGATTCTTATAAATAATAAAAATTAAAATTTAGCTTGCGACAGTTTTATCCATCATTATTGCAAGCTAGTATTATGTATGCTACAGTTATCTCATATATCAGCGCTTTTTTCCCTAAATTTTGACAGCACTCCAACAACGTGTAGGTACACACAGGCAACACATACACATACATAGAATTCCGGCAAGAGCTTCTAGGTGGAAACTAATATTTTATCCTTGTCGTCGGTATACCACGGCCATAGTGGAGGTTTTCCATCGATCTGGCGTTTTCCCCAATACTCTCGAAACAGCAGAGGGTGAGAACCATGGGGAATATGTCGGAGCGAACGGGGATCGACGGATGGTAAGCTGAGTTATTCAATAGGACGCAGCCCGTTTTGAGACGATTCTCGAGGGACTCGTGTCGTTTCATCTCGATCCCGTGAGCATGTCCGCTATATGCTATTGTGACCCCTAGGATGTAGTTTTGCGAGTTTCATGCGTGTGTTACGTACTTGACAAAAATCCGAATGATTCTCGTTACGTTACCGAGAGAGAGAAAAATGGATCGCATATATTTCTCGTTCGTACAAAAATTCCCAGATATAGATGGGAAAAAGGAATAACACGAAAAAATATCACGGAATCTGAATCAGCTTCGCTGTTATGCTCAATTGGATTTGCGTATTTTATTTCGTTACGAAGAATACTGCGATAGAAATTTTTTTGCGAAATAATTGAGGATCTCAAAGGCGCGGAGAAATATATAAGCGAATTTTAAATTAAAAAAAGTATAAAATATTTTTAAAAACAAAGAGAGAGAGAAACTATTGTTCTGTAATAATGGAAGTTTTGTACAAATAGATATTATACACATATTTATATTATAACTTTGCCTGTAGAGAACTAAATTAGGCAAATGTTTACACTTAAATATATAAAAATAAATACGGTAATATTTTGTATAAGAATAAAATATCATCACTTTCTATTTAAAATTGATTTGTTCATCTTCGATAACTGTAGGATGACACAATCGATATATTACGATAGTAAGTGATTAATCCGTTACCAATCTTGACAAAAGACAGGAAGACACTTGATATCGAAGCATCGAAGTATCGATCATCAACAGAAACGGCTGCCAAAATATCAATCAATCATTCGAGTTTTCTGCGCTTTAAAGCAAGAGCAAAATATCATTTCTAACTCTCGGTTGCAGCTCCAAACGAGAGGAACGAGAATATTTCCTCTACTGCAGTTTCATTATTCAACGTGCAAAAACAACACAATACTGTTTGCAAAGCTGCCTTCTTTCGAAATTTGTGCGTATCTTATGTATATTTTGTTTGAATCTCAAGTACGGAAAACTAATGTAACGTCGGTTCACGACTGGAAAATCCCTTACTTATTTATGCTGGTGGTCGGTTAGTTCGCGAAAAAAATCCTTTTGGCTGCAACCCGTTCCGCTTCCAAGGTCTCGATTCAACTTCGTGAATGTGCGAACAAGCATTCCGCGCAAATGTCAACCTCGATTTTTGTCGACGAAATCTCTTCCTCGTTCAATGATCGTTTCTTTCGGAAGTTATGAAAACGACTAGCAACGGCCCACTTTGTGTAATACTTCTTGACGTTGCTTAAAAGCATTCGTTAAGTTAAGAATAAGTTTTTAAATCTATAAGAGAGTTGTTTCTTTAACTAGAGAATTACAGAGTAATTGATAGCGGTAAAAAATGAAAAATTATTACGACAAACAAAGAGCATGTAATGTTGTCAAAATTGTAATGTTTTCAAAATCGGATTATCAAATGCAAAAACATTTTCTGATCGGCGGCAATTAATACCAATAAACACGCTTTTGACAAGACACTTGTGACAAAACTAGTCTAAACGATATATTCTGCGATAGCTTTTACTATATTTG